TAGACCTACTCTCTTAAATCACTTCAGTAGTATGAAAATTTTACCTCTAATCAAATTTAATTTGAAATTGAAATTAAAAACCATAAAGTATATTTTCTAGTACTGAACATATTCTTTTAATCATGCAGTCCACACCTTCAGATGTCATGGTTAGAAGGTAAATGAACAAACAGAGCTTGAATTTTCATATTCTAGTGTCATTTAATGTATACTAACTCATGTAGTGTAAATACTTTCAGAGAGATCAAAAAAGAATGAACTGCTTAAGCTATAATTCTTCAGACTTAGGCACATGGTTAATTTTACAATGGGACTATTCACATGTCTATATTTGAGTGTGCATAAATCTTTAGAGCCCTGCGCAGATTCAAAATGTATATTCTTATCCAATCCACAATCAGAAAAAATGGTCTGTTGACATAAAGCAGATATCCACAGATTTGCAGGGCTCTATAAATCTTCACAGAATTGATGTCACTTAGGCCCCTGTTTAGCAAGCTACTTGTGAACCTTCTAACTCTCTAATTGTAGTCTCTCCTTAATGAAAACATTAACAACTGCACCAGTGCATCTACGCCGCTATAAGTTCTCTATGTAGCTGTTATAACCCGATGGGAGAGAGCTCTCCTGTCGGCTTAATTACTCCAGTCCCCACAACAGAGGGTGGCGGAACCTTCTGAAAAGTGGGGGGGGATGGCCCTGCCCCTTCTGCCCAAGGCCCCGTCCCTGGACAAGTCGGAAGCTGGAGCGGGCCAGGAGCCGCAGGTCCTCCACCTACCTGGGTGGGGAGGCCAAGAGCAGGCCCCGGCCCGTGTCCGTGCCCCACAGGCCCCCCGCCCAGGCCAGGAGGGTCTGCAGCTCCCCACAGCTGCCCGTGCAGCTTTTACCTGACCTGACTCTGCCAGGGGATGGGGCCTTGGAGCCACAGCCCAGCCATAGTAAGAGCCATGCACCCTCCATCTGCCCTGGGTGGGGGTGGGGACACGGGGTGGAGGCTCCTCTCCGCACCCCGGCTGCTGGAGGGTCTGCGGCACAGCACCCCATGCTACCCGGGGTCCCCAGCCAGGCTCCAGCTGCCAGCCTGGCCGGGGCCTCAGGTGGAAGAGGAGGGGTAGGGGCGGGGCCTGTGGCAAAAAGTGGATGGGCCAGGCCCATCCACTTTCAAGAAGTAGGAGGGCCATGGCCCTCTGGGCCCCCCTATTTCAGTGCCCCAACCCCACGAGTGGCGGTAGCTATGTTGGTGGGAGAAGCTCTTCTGCCAACATAGTGCTGTCCACACCGGTGCTTAAATTGGCATAAGTTATGTTGCTCGGGAGGGAGGCTAATTCACACCTGTGAGTGACATAACTTATGTCGACTTAAGCTATAGTGTAGCCATAGCCTGAGGCACTGGCCACTTGTGATCATTAAAGAACCCATAGCATTTTTCTCAGAATTATAGGTGTTAATTCCACTTTCCTAGCCATATTCTGATTTGAGTATCAATATTATTTCTTTTTAAATGTCTGCTTCAATTTCAGTCATAGATATTTTTCCTCATTGCCTGTCCTAAACTGTTATGTACTGCTGCGTATTTTAAGGCAACTACAATGAATTTGTGGGTGAATGGTTTCATAAAGCATTTAGGAATATTCTTAAATGAAAGGTACTATAAATGTTGTTAGTTGTTCTATGGGAAGGTAAATAGCTTTTTAGTTAACAAATTTATTTGTCACTTATTTACAGTTAACACATAGAACATATATTCCATAAACATTTTACACTGTTTTTCTACAAAGCATTTCTTTTCAACTTTAATCATTGAGGAACTCTATCAGGTTAAAATATGACATATTTATAGAAGAATTTCCATATACTATGTTAAAATATCCTCCTCTTATAAATGGTTAAAACTGATAAAATTTTAAAAACTAAATTTACTTTTCATTTAAGACGTTTGTTTACTTTTTGCATTTTACTCAATTTAGAGAATGAAGTTTCACTTTTGTTTTTAGTGATTTTCCTAGTAAATTTCACTTTCCCGTTCCCATGCGCTTGGACAAAGCAACAATTTTGGGTGTGTAAATACTGCAGGAAAATCCTTTGGTTTAAAAAATATCTTTACATTGGCATTAAACAAAAATATAGAATTTTTTTTAATTGGTCTTAGGTTCTGTAGAAGCTTATTTGTATAAAACCTCAATTCTGGGCTTTGTTTGAGCTTGCAAAATCTCCTTCAGATATGCATGAAACCTGACAAAATATAATGCCATGAAAATGTCTTGTTCTTTTTCAGAGTCTTTATTGCCGGATGATTACATAGTTCCTCTTGACTGGAAAACATCAAAGAAGATCCATTTACTATGGAAGACATCTGTGAAGGTATGGGTTTTAGTTCTCTGCAAGGCTTTCCTGTATTTTAGGAGTAAAGAGGCACCATTTACTCTAGGGTGCAATCAGAATTTTCCGAAGAAGTGGGCCCAGGTCACCTGCCACGTCCTCACTGAGCCACCATCTCTCCTTCCAGAGTGAGATCATAAGTGGAAGAGACAGTGTGAGGAGATGGCATCCTGGGGTTCTGGGAAGCAGAGAGCTGGGTCGAGGGGGTGCTGGGAGCCAGAGCCACAGGAGAAGCTGCCACCCCATGTCCCTGCCATCCCCTCCCACAGGACCAGTTGGGACCTTCCCTTCCCCTGGAGAGACCAGGGGAGACTGTGAATTTGTGTTAGCATCTATGCCCCTCCTGTTACCCCCCGCCCATCATTGTGCTTCTGCATTCAGTTCATGTGGAGAAAGAGTATTTCTTGCTGATAGATCCATGTTTTATATAAGTGAATACAAACAGTGAAGGAAGAGCATTATGTAGGTCCTGTCCTGCAAGCCCTGTGCAAGGGAGAGCTCTAACCTTATAGCAGGGTTGAGGGTTTAGGTGGACAGAGCAGAAAAATATATGAACCAGTCAACAAAAATAAAACCTTTCCCTATTGCTCAGGGTCCTTCTTTTTACCCTGCAGATACTGTCCTCCACTTTCCTTTTCCTCCTCCTGTTCTTCTACCACCCTCTAAGCAGACTCCGCCCTCTGGTATCTGCAGTTCCTTACCCATCAATTCTAGCAAAAATGCTCTGAGTATCTGCTGAGTGGCTGACTGGGATTTAGCTTATTTTGTCTGGTCAGAAACTGTAATTGTTTTATACTCTATCAATGCACTCTATTCCGAGACCCAGCTCAGTGCCACTCCCCTCTGTTGGTGAAGAGAAAAAAAGAGCCTTTCTCCAAACCTTCCTCCCTTGTGGGGATAGATAAGAAGAAATCACCCTAAGTGTGTTGAGGGGAGGAGGTGAATGAGCTTAGAATCATAGAAACATAGGCTGGAAGGGACCTCAAGGAGGCAGAACCAAGTGAACCTAGATCTAGCTTATATGTCTGATGAGGGCAATTATATGTATCTTATGACTTTAAAAACAAACTTTGTATTTGTGGATAATCTAAGCACTATACCCAGATGTACAGACACTGTTTTCTCACCCTATGTATTACATAATTTTATTAACATTAGCTTTAATAAAATGTATGTGCTTGGAGGGTATATAAGGGAGAATTCAATTGATGGGATAATGTATAAGGTGTGTCTGAATGGCTGAGGAATGAATTAAGGGAGACAAGGGAAATCAGAAAAATTATAATCCAAAAATAAGTTTAAGGGGAAAACAGAAGAAAAAAGAAAAGTTATGCCAAGATAGATAGGCAATGGAAAGGAAAAAGTAGGGAAAGAAAAAGAGAATGGACAGGGAACACAGTACATTTTTAAAAAGTTTAATGCCAGTGTTATTTTAAATAATTTTAAAATGGGATAGACTAGCTGGATGGGTTGGGGAAAGTAGTGCACCCATTTAAATTTTCTTAGGCCTTGTCCACACTAACCCCCCACTTCGAACTAAGATACTCAACTTCAGCTACGTTATTCAAGTAGCTGAAGTCGAACTATCTTAGTTCGAACTTACCGCGGGTCCACACGCGGCAGGCAGGCTCCCCCGTCGACTCCGCGTACTCCTCTCGCGGAGCAGGAGTACCGGCGTTGACGGCGAGCACTTCCGGGATCGATCCGGGATCGATTTATCGCGTCTAGACAAGACGCGATAAATCGATCCCAGAAGATCGATTGCTTACCGCCGGACCCGGAGGTAAGTATAGACGTACCCTTAGAGGAGCAAATTGCCTAGGGCTGTGTCAGATCTCCGTACGTACTTAGAACCCCTCTCATTTAAACAGGAGTTTGGGTGAAGACAACTTTTAGGATGGGGCCCTGTATGTATACATATATTTATATACTGTTTACAAACTTTCAGAAAGTAGTCTCTGCATGCATGGATATCTATATCCATACTTTGAGCATTGTCACTGGCACTTATAGTTGATGGGTTTTGCATATGCAAAACCCATCACTTGCATGCAGAAGTGATAGATTATGTCACATGTGCCTTCACATATGTGTGATTCAATAATATGCATGCAAAACAGAGGCTGGGTTTGGCCCTCTTAGAATATTTGTCCCACTATATACATATACATATTTGAACATGCAGGCGTTCTCTACTGGTTGAGGGTACAGTATAATTTCACATGTTAGGAAATACCCCATTATTGACAAAGTAGGACAATGCAGAGCTGTAAGTAGATCTTCTAAAGGTCTGAATGTAAGCATAGTTTCATATTTCAATATTACATATTTATATACTGTTTATACCAGAGTAGTTTAGTCAATAGTTGGACTGAATCATATTTCTGAAATAATTTTTATATTTCTTAACCTTTCTTTTGCCACTTCTCAATGAAAGGATAGCCTATTACTAGGGCTGTTGTTTTATGGTGGCAGTTTTTAGGAGATAATACAGGATAGTGTGATGAAAAGGACAAAAGCCTTGTAAATACAGTTTAAAAACTTATGTAATGTAATATGGACTTTGTTCTGTACACTGATTACCCAACCCCCCAGACCATCATATATATTTCCTTTTTCTTCTTCTCTCCTTTATTATTGCTTATTTTATTTGTTTTTAGAGGAAACAAAAAAAGAATGGATTACAGAATGGGAATTCTTTGGCTGGTAAGCATAACAAAATGAATGTAAACGTTATTTATTCAGTGCAACAATCAGTTAATGTGTTACCCGGCGTTCTTTCAACCCAAAGCTCTTGGTAACTTTTATTCTGTGCGAGGAGGCGTCAGGAAATAAAACAGGGGAGACACGGCCATCCAACCGATAGATGGTTGGCACAAACAGGACAACACAAGAGTGTTTTCACTTAAAGCTAAACCTTTACTAAGTCTCAAGCACTTGCACACGTCCGCAATAAGATTAGTAAAACACCCCCAACCCTTGATAATTACCAAAGCTGAGTGTGGCTCTCGAGTGGCACAGCCGCAGCCCGTTTGCTGGTGGGAACACAAGATGCATCCAGAGGGAGAGACCAGTCCTGAAGAGTCCCCCACAGGAGAGTCCCACCTATCTCAAGCTTTTCCCACTTATTTATACAGTAATAATACAATGACATGTCCCTTAAAGAAAACTTGTCAAGCAAACAGTTCCAATGGGCAAGCAAGAGGCTCCTTCTGATTATTGATTAACCAGGTGTGGGTTTTCCAGAACTTGCAGCCTTGAGACCTCAATAGACATTCCTGGGACATATCCTACTCTTTTGAAACGCATGTATCAGCAACTTCAACACAATTCTTATCAGGAAGGACGCGGGATCAAGCTGCCCTTTCTGTGGCACCCCAAAACCAACTCCCCTCCTGCCTTGGTCAAGCTGAGATTGCTGAATGCCAATTTACAGCTTGCTGACTAGGTTGCTTTTTAACAATAAGCCATAGTGGTTTTAGGCACTTTACTGGTTTGCCAAAATCTCCCCGTACAAATGTAGAAGTAAGTAAGTTGAAAGTTACTGTGTTCATAGTATCTGTAACTACTTCTTGTGCAAGTGCAGGATTTCGTATTGTAGTGTATGGTATTAAATGTATGCCTCCATATACAGTATACATACAATGTGGCAGAGTTACAGCTGCTGTGGGACCCAATTTTGAATTTCCTGACTTGTGATTTGAAATTCTCCACCGTAACAGTTTTTCTTATTAAATGAATCAAATAATTTTACTTTGAGTTTACTTGAATCCAATTCAGATGGAGCTTAAAGTTGTAGTGCATAGGCTTGCCTTTACTATATTCACTGCCTTGCCTTAATTATATTTAGCTGCTTTCATTATATTCAGTTCTAATGGAAGAAGCCTACAGTATCCTATATCCTGTAATACATTAACTGAAGCATAAGCTTGCATAAGTGTGGTTAAGTAGGCTGTAACCCTTGGCGTAGATCAACGGTTACCTTTAGATTTTAGGAACTAAGAATAGCTTGCTCAATGGTAGGAGGTAGAATGTTCCAGTAAGTGCTACCACAAGGAACATGGAAGTAATAACCCCAAATCCGCTTAAGCAAGCGATGGCAGATATGATCATGAGTTGAAATTGTTGTTACATGTATCAATATACTAACCTATAGAAAGAGGACACCTCAACATTAGTAGGATGAGGAAATACATATAAGGAAAAGGGGAAAAATCCCCTACTGACCTATGCATTAGATATAGTGGCATCAGCGTAATGTATTATAGAAGTTGCATGCCAGTCTTTGGGCAGTAGGAGAGAGAGAGCTGTAGCCCTTGGAAGGGACCAGAATGATGGCCACTAGTGGTGAAGAGGAAGGTGATGGTGATGAGGAAGATAATGGTTAACATTTCAGGTCGTCCTGCAAGGGATGGTGTGAGTATATGGATGCTCAGATGTACATTCTGTAGTCTCCCTATCTGAGAGTTAGAGTGTTTGTGACTTTGCTAAATGTATTAATAAACTATTTGGAAATATAGAAGAATTCTGATACTGTGAGTGTTGCAATTGTGCACGTTGGGGTTCCGAACTATATAGTAATTTTAATAATACTGGGCCTGATCTTGGGACAAGAACCTGTCAACCCTCAAAGTGATCATTGGGAATTCTTAAGTAATCAATAGAATTAATACATAATCTATAGATCGGGCTACAAAGTGAAAAACATGTTGTCTTAGATTTTATCTGTGAAGTGTTGAGGGTCATCAACTCTCATTGAATTCAGTGGGTATTGAAAGTTATCAACACCTCAATGGATCAGGCTCCTAGGCAGCAGAGGAAAGAGGCTTGATGAGAAACATCAAGAGCTTGGTGTTAGGTGAAGGAATCCTGTAGTGTTCAGATGGTAGGAGCATGTTTCCAGTTGCCTCACACTCTGATTTTAATTTCTTAGGATGGGTGGGTCACCACTGGCTTCCACTCAATGTCCTACTACTTTGGGGATTGGGAGCATCAAAAGCATCCATCCCACAATTCTGCTGTCTTCCGTGGGAGAGCTGGCTTCCAGCAGCCTCCCTCTGTAATCACCAACTGCATCTATCCTCTCACTCTAGCCCATAAGGTCTCTGAAGGCAGCTGGAGAATACCCTGCTGGCAGCCTTTCTCTAAAGGTATCTGCTGCAGCAGAGTCTGGTAATGCATGGTACTTCATATACTGTATATATGTGTTCTAAAATACTATACCAGAGGAGAATAATGACATCTAGGGAACAGCTTTTGTTGTTTAATATAATTGCACAAGTTGGCATAAGGCCTTCTAAAATTGTTGGAAATGCATGATATAATTGTTCCCTGGAGAATGACAGACAAGTTGGTGTCTGAAGTTGGGGACAGATCCTGTGGGAAAGGCTGAGGATATGTCTACACTGCAATTAAACACCCAAATCTGGCCTGTGTCAGCTGATTTGGGTTCACAGGGCTCGGTATGAGGGGCTGTGTAGACGTTTGGGCTCAGGCTCTGCAATCCTCCCCCCTTATGGGGTCCCAGAGCCTGAATTCCAGCCTGAGGCCAAACGTCTACACCTCAGTTAAACAGCCCCTTAGCCTGAGCTCTTTGAACCCAATTCAGCTGACACATGCCAACCACAGGTGTTAAATGGCAGTATAGACATACCCTGTAGCTCTTGGCTTGGAAGTTAATTTGCTGGAGAGCCAAGAGAGATTCAGACCAGTAGGGCATGTGTGTAATTGTTAGGGCACAGCTGAAAAATCCAACAAAATAGATTAAATATTTCGTGTGTAAAATTGGTAACATTTGTAGTTTTCTAGGGCAATAATCTTGTTCTGTAAATAATCTTGACATAAATACAAATGACAAACTATATAAATTATACTTTGGGTGTCATTTGGCAAATTACAATCATGTTTTTTTAGTTGGTGCCAACATACTGGAGGATACAAATAAAGATTGCCAAAAGAGTCAAGAATCTTATGAAACACTTCAGGAAACAAATCTATATCAAGACGTAGTAGAAGAGAACTCTGTGACTTATCCAGACAATAAGCACTTGTATAACATATCAACCAATCTTGAATGTCATCTTAAACAGAAAAAGTCAACATGAAGATAAAGGTAACATTTTATAAAACTATCATTCTTACGGATAATGCTGGTCTAAACAGCTGAAAAACAAAGATTATTGCATTCATTTTTAATAAAATGATTTTAAAAATACTAACAGCTCATCCTGTCTGTAAGCACCTATGACTTTACTATAAGTAAATATTTAATTATTTATACAAAGTGGAACAGCTCCAACAGGAAAGACTGAGAGAGACCCATCCCAGAATAGCTATAGCCTGGTGGTTAGGGCACTCACCTGGGACATGGGAGATCCAGGTTAAAAGTTCTTTCCAGGCAGAGCAGAGGATCTCACACATTTCAGGTGAATGCCCTAACCACCAGCCTATTGGCTATTTTGGGTGGGGAAATCTCACTTTCTCCTTTTGACCAGAAATTCCATCCTGGACCTGAGAAACCTTCCTGATAAAAGTTTAATTGAAACTCATATGTTTCAACATATTTTCTGATGAAAAATGTTTTGTCAAAAAAATCCCAACAACGTCTACCTAACATTAAGTGGTGCTAACGAACAGCACATACTGTGTCTCATGATCTAGAGGTTAGGAGCTTCATTTCTCCAATCCTTTTAATTCTAACTATTCCAAGTAATTATTTGATATTTTCCTAGATGATATTTCTCAAACCCATGTTTTGTAGGACAGGACACTGGCTGATATCTTAACCATTAAACTTATGTTACTTATTTGTGTATTTTGTATGTGAAAGTATGTCTGTGTTTATGAAGGTATGTGTGAACATTATGAGCATGGGGAGAAAAAACTTTCCAAGCTCCAAAAAAAACCCACTTTGGTTTAAATAGAAGTCCTAAAATGTAATGGATGTCATTATAATGACAGAGTAAATTTGGGGTGTGATATTCCAAATGTAACTAAGGTGGTTATTTTTTACAATTCAATGCCTCTCTTGTAATGCTGTACATCCTACCTATCAGACTGTATGTGGATGGATGTTCAGTAAGTTCTTAGTTGAAATACCTTCAAATTTACTCAGAATGGAGTAAACGTTATTTAATCAACCTCTTTGGGGTTTTTAAAATTATGCATGGATAAATATAGACAGTGACAAATCCAACACACGATCATGTCATCAAATGGTGAAAGGAGGAGTCTAATAACATTTGAGTTGTTGGTGATTGGGTTATTTTTCATTCTGACATTTTGAACTCAATAGTGTGAAAGGTCTGCTTTTAAAAATGCATAATCAGGTATAATTACTTATAAGTTAAGTTATAATTACTTAAACATACGGGGGAGGGAGGGAGGGATAGCTCAGTGGTTTGAGCATTGGCCTGCTAAACCCAGGGTTGTGAGTTCAATCCTTGAGGGGGCCACTTAGGGAGTTGGGGCAAAAAATCAGTACTTAGTCCTGCTAGTGAAGGCAGGGGGCTGGACTCGATGACCTTTCAAGGTCCCTTCCAATTCTAGGAGATAGGATATCTCCATTAATTAATTAATTATTAATTATGTGAGAGTATTGAATATGCGTGAGATATGCAGGGATGTGTGTGAGAACTAGCTCTGAGGGGCTCACAGGAGCCTGTTGCTAAAATTTTGCCATCAGTTTGAAGGGAGGTTGGGGTAATCTCTCTCCCTCTCAAGAAATCACACATTTCCCACCTCCCCAATGGATGCTAATAAAGTAACCCAGTCAGAAGTGATATTCCAGAGGCTTTTAAAAAATACTCTAAAGACCAAATATAAAAATCTTGAAATGGACCAGATTTTACCAAATGTCAGGTATTTTAAAAATAAATTTCACAGAAGAGAAGACTCCTGGGAATTTCCACTGTAACCTCTTTAAATTACACAAGTTGAACGCAGTGCTAATGCTGCTATCATAGTATATTTTTGAGAAACAAGTTATATATATTTCTAGCAAAGTTCAGTTTAATATAAATCTGTTTGCCAACTGGTGGTGCTTCCTTCCTTCAATAGCTTGTGTGTTTTTGTCTAAATGAAAAATGAATATATTTGTCTCTCTCTGCTCCTCTTTGCACACACATGCCCCCCAGAACATGGTTTGTTTCTGGTTAAGAGACAACATTTTTGTAAGAATTCCTTATCAAAACATTGACAACAAATCAGTGGTTGAATAACTTGTTCTGGGGAACAGGCAAAATAGACTATGATCAAAACTACTATTGAAATAAGCATTGGTAGATCAATGGAAACAAGTGTTTTTATTTATTAATTTGTATTACCATAGTAGCTAGAAGCTGTAATCAGGGACCAGGACCCTATTATGCTAGGTGCTGTACAAACACTGACAAAAAATGTTCTCTGCCACAAAGAGCTTGCAGTCTAAGACAAGAAACAACAGACAGGTGAATACAAGGAAACAGTAAGACAGTATTGGTCAGGATGATAGGCAGTCGTCTTAGCACACCAGCAACCTAACCATTGTCAAACTTTTTTGCAGGCATCATAGAAAAAGAGAGTTTTAAGCGGAGTCCTAATGAGGATAATGAGTTAATTTTCTGCCCAAGTGTGAGGGGCAGCATAGAAGAAAGCACAAAAGTGCTTATTTGAAAATTTAACAAGTGGGCAAAGAGGCCAGGATCATACTCCAATCAGCGGCAGGGTACAACATCTTGATTGCGAATGAAAGAAGATAGGTAGGGAAGGGAAAGGGCGTGAAGATCCTTAAAAGTGAAGACCAAGTAGTTTATGGAAACGTGGACAAATTGCTAAGGATTGAATACAAAAGAACAGAGCAAACATGTAGAGACAAAATCATAAATGCTAAAGCACAAAATGAGTTACATCTAGCAAGGGGGCTGTTATAAAGAGGACTGTGATCAATTGTTCTCCATATCCACAGAAGGTAGGACAAGAATTAAAGGGCTTAATCTGCAGCAATGGAGATTTAGGTTAGATATTAGAACAAAAGTTTCCAACTGTAAAGATAGTTAAGTACCAAGGGAGGTTTTGAAATCACTGTCGTTGGAAGTTTTTGACGACAGATGAGACAAATACCTCTCAGGGATAGTCTAATTTGCAGAGTTGTTATAGTGGTGTTGGTCACAGGATATTAAGAGACAGGGTGGTGAGAGAGACAAACTTTCAAGCTTACACAAAGCTCTTCTTCAGGTCTGGGCCCAGCTCACATTTTATCACAATGATAATGAAAACTTAATGGTTTTTTTTGGACAGGTGACTAAAATATTATGTGCCCAGTTCTCTAACTTTAGTGGGAAGTATAATCTATTAAATACATATAGTAAAAGTTATTTTATCTGGCACTTCACCAACCAGAAAGCTCTATAAACTGGCATTTCTGATCTTCATTGAAATTCTGGTTTATAGTCCAGTGGGCGTGGGAGTGGCAGGGGGCTGGGATGCAGGAGGGGTGCGGAGTGCCGGATACAGGGGGCACTCATCTTGGGTGGCTCCCTGCAAGCAGCAACCTGTCCCGGCTGCTCCTACGTGGAGGTGCAGCAGGCGGCTCCGCGCGCTGCCCCGCCCCAAGTGCTAGCTCCGCAGCTCCCATTGGCGGGGAACCACAGCCAATGGGAGCTGCAGGGGCAGTGCCTGTCAGTGGAGGCAGCGCACAGAGCTGCCTGTAGTGCCTCCGCCTTGGAGCTGCCGGAACAGGTCTCCACTTGCAGGGAGCCACCCAAGGTGAGCACCACCTGGATCCGGTACCCCACACTCTCTCCTGCGCCCCAACCCACTGCTCCGAGTCCCCTCCCGCACCCAAACTCCCTCCCTCTTAGTTAACTGGCATTTTTCACTTACTGGCATCCCCCATTTCCCCAACATGCTGGATAAAACAGCTTTTACTGTATTATCTTGGTAGTGTGATGTAGTGAGTATACAGATATCCACAAAATTACATTTCTAGTTTACTGAATCTTTCCCATGTTGGTATAACCTTTAATTTACACTCTATTATTATTCAGCATAAGAGAAAACTCTAACAATCTGCAGAGAAAGGTATGCTAATACAATAGACACGTGGATAGTCAGTGCCTTTATGAGCACAGAGAGATATCCACAAACAGTCTCTTCTCATCATTAAACGCAAAATCTCTACACAAAACAAAATAGATCTTAAGGCCTGGGGGGGGGGAGGATCGACCTAAGATACGCAACTTCAGCTACGAGAATAGCGTAGCTGAAGTCGACGTATCTTAGGTCAACTTACCTCGCGTCCTCACGGCGCAGGGTCGACTACCGCCGCTCCCTCGTTGACTCCGCTTCCGCCTCTTGCCACAGTGGAGTACAGGAGTCAGTGGCAGAGCGATCGGGGATCGATCACTACCTGCCGATCCGTCGGGTAGTGTAGACGTACCCTTAGACTATTAGACATTTTATGCTAGAACAAAAGCTCAAATGAAGGAGAATACTACCCCCTTCGTTAAAATAAAATTATTTGTTTAAATATACGCAGAGATAGGACAAATCTGGAGCAAGAACTCCCTTGTACAATGTTTACCAATAGAGCCCAGCCTCACATTTGACTTCAAAAAGAGAGGGAATAATTGATAGGAGACACAAGAGTTATATAGAATAGGCTTGTATCTACTTAGAAGAGCTTAAGAAATTGTAGATCAAATTATGCTGATATCTTCCACAGAATTCCTCAGATTTTTTATAGACGACAATCAGGTTCTATATAAATTTTACAGAGAAAAAAAAAATTAAATCAGTTTCTGAAGCCTAGCTATGATTGAAGTAATATTGGTGGAATTTAAAATTCATTTTAAGTATTGTTATCCTTTATTCCTTTTCTTGTTTTTGATTCTTCATGATGTCTAGCTCCTTTCTCCATCTCTGACATCGTCTTCCTATCTTCCCTTCCTCTATAATCTTTTCAGTTTTCCCACCTTTTATACTCTCCACTTCATTTCTTTTCTAAGCCTTCAAAATCCCTCTTTGTACCTCCTTCAAAATCAAACTGCTAAAACTGAGAAGGAAATAGATCCCTTTATCAGGGACTGGAGGTGAAAAATTATCCTTTAATACTTTCTTTTAGCCATAGGGTGGGATGTGGCAATATTGAAACAATGTTTGCAACAGTTAGTATTTTTTAAATCTGCAGTGACTGGTTATTATGATACTTCAGCAGACTCTCTTCTTTTATATTACAGAAATTTGTCAATCTTGGCACCATAATGGAAGGACCTCAGTTTACAATCAAGTGTTATAAATGTAAGGAATAACCTGGAAGAAGTATTCAGTGTAGAATTTGGTGCTTAATCCATGACCCTCAATAATCCTTAGGCTTTATATCCACATAGCCACCCATTCTGGTTTTGAAATAAAAAAAATTGTAATAATTTTTGATTGTCAAATGGCCACTTTCAGAAGTCACTTGATATTTATGCTTCCTTTACTCATCCTTCTATGGCACAGAGAGACTGAAAATAAAGGAGATTGCTTTGGCCAATGTTTAGTCTGAAGCAAAAATAGCAAAAAGATTTCCCCAATGAAGGATTTCTGTGTTTACAAATCAAAGGAAAGGGAGGGGTCTGTTGTCTACATAAACTGTGAGCTTCAGATTCCTGGATCTAATTCACTATTGGAACACCGAAATATTTGCTACATGCATAAAAAGGTAATGGCTTGATGGTAACCATGCGTTTGCAGAGCTGGGTATCTGACTTCACTGCTGGTGTCCCTTTATAAGTCTTGTGTTTGTGTCAAGTATTCTTTCTACTTCTGCCTACTTCTGTTTTCTCCTATTCCTGTTACTAATTATTTTCATCCGTTGCCGCCTCATGATACTAAATGGAGCAAGTCTTCATCAGTCTCTCCTCCCTATTCCTTGTTCCACAAATACTTAACCTTTTCTTGTTCATAGTTACTCTGTCTTGAATCCATGCTTGCCATCTCCTTTAGACTACATTGATATAGACTTATTTCTGACTATAGAAATAAGTAGAAGTCATCTTTGATTTTTTTGTTATTGGGGCTGATCTAAATCCCATTGAAGTCAATGGAGACAGTCCCCTTAACTTCAATTGGCTTTTGATTGGGGCCTCTACAAACATTGATATTTAGTTATTTATATTACCATCAATGATGCTCCTTTTGCCTCTATTGTCTAAAGAACCTCATGATGACTCATGGAAAACTTTGAAAATAACCTAATTAAAAATAATTCTTTTCCTGGTATAACACATTTTTGTGTTTTACTTCCCTAGTTTTAATTGCTGGGTTTTTCCTTCAGAATTAATTAGCTGCTGCTTATTCCCCACTTGAAGCCATAGTCTTGTTGGTAGCATCTCTATTTGTTGCTCTGGAAATGATCATAATAGCACTAACAGAAGATTGATTTCATGTGGGGAATGGGCAACAAAAGCCGATTAACAATGATCGTGTTTTTAAAATAGAATTTCAGTTTTCTTTGAGGCATTAATGGGTTTCATAAATTTGTCTGTTCTTTGGAGGGTATAGGAACAGTGTGGCTCAGCAGTGCTTTAGGACTTCCATGGGGAAGCATCAAATTGCTCTGCTGCCAGTAGTGTTGTGGTGCACAGCTCACAATCATGCCATTCCTTAAACTGGCGCTCAGTTACTTGGTGTCTCTGAGAGGCAGAGGTGGGGAGTGGAGCATGTTTCAGAGGTGCTGCAGGAGGAGAGTGGTCAAGTAGCACTGAATGACCAGCACTCATAGATAAATGGTGTCAGAACAAGTGTGGGAGGGGTGAGGAGCCCAGAAGGGAATGAATGTGGTGTGGTGAACTAGAGGGGGAGGGGGAAAGCAAGAGGACATATGTAACAGGGAGGGGAGTGGAAAGAGGGGATAAAGTATGAAGAGGGAGTGGTTTGGGCTATGAAAAGGAGTAATAAAACACAGGAGGAGAGGAGGAAATTAAAAGCAGTAAAGGTGAAGACTAACAGTGGAAAAGGGAGTTGGGGGGGGAGGTGAAAGGACAAATTGATAGTTTATGGCATAGTCTGATAGCACTGCAAAATAGTTACACATAAAGAAAACAGAAGGGAAGAGAGAAAATTCTACTTACCACTAGCACAACTTTTGTCAATCACAGGAGTGGATGAAAGCTTCTCTGTGATGTGTGGGAATGAATAGAGAAGGACAAAAATTACCTTGACACATGGCAGGTAAAGTGGAAAAAATGAAAGAACAGGGGGTGGAAGAGTGGTGAGGCTATCACATTAGAAAGCTTAGATTGAATATGTTTGTCAAACAAACAAACCAATGATCCGGATTAGTCCTTCCCCCCACCTCCCACACATACACACATGCTTCAGATTGAAAAACAATTTAATAGTTTCTCTGACTTGGGCATCTCTCATCTTCTGCCCTCCCCCACCTTTCCCCCTTGCCAGTATTTTATTATGTATTAGCTCCTGACCAGAACGCCTGCTAAGGGATTGCTGCTTTGTGATCTAAACTACCTGCAATTTCCCCCCAGGCTCCAATGTAAAACCAGTAAACAACATTGAATAAGCAGCTCTAGCACATCAGTATTTCTAAAATGATTACTGCACCATTGGCAAAACTGATACTTTCATTTTGCTTAATATTGTTTTCCCTTGGGAGAAAATGTACTGTACTAATGCCAACATGAACACTATATAAAATAATGGGGTTGGTATTTCACATTGTTTGCAACATTAGTGCAGCATAATTTTGCATAAAATACTAGTGACATTAGAACAGGCCACATTTAATTTAATTTAAAGAAAGATTCACCCAAACGTTTAATAGAAATGTGATTTTTTTTCCTATTGACAAAGAATAGGAATCTGAGTACATTTACTGTCCATGAAATCTAATATTGTTAACTGAGTATTGAACTTCCAGAACACCTGAAATAAAAAAGAAATGTCAAAATCTCTCAGTATCTTTTTTTATGAAAAAGAAAAGGTTTTGAGGTTTGACTCTTAAAGGAATACTGTCAATTTAAAAAATAAATTTAAAAATCAATTTGTAAGCACCTAGAGGATAATAAAATTATAAGGGTTTGTCAAGAACAAATCATACCAACCATTATAATTTCCTTCTTTGCCAGGGTTACTGACCTGTTGGATGAGGGGAAGAAGTAAACATGATATATCTGCGGCTTTTATCACAGTTCCACGTGACATTCTCATAAGCAAACTAGTGAAATACTGTCTAGATGAAATTACTGTAAGATGGGTGCACAACTGGTTGAAAGACTGTACTCAAAGAATAGTTATCAATTGTTTGCTGTCAAACTGGGAGGGTGGGGCCAGTAGTATCCCACAGAGCTCAGTCCTGGATCCAGTACGATTCAATATTTTCATTAATGAGTTGGATAGCAGAGTGGAACATATGTTTATAAAATTTGTGGATGACAGCAAGATGGGAGGAGTTGCAAGCACTTTGGAGGACAGGATTAGAATTCAAAATGACCTTGACAAATTAGAGAATTGGTTTGAAATCAACAAGATGAAATTCTGTAAAGACATGTGCAAAGTACTTCACTTAAGAAAGAAAAATCAAATGCACAACTAAAAAAATGGCGCATAACTGGCTAGGTGTTAGTACTGCTGAAATAGATGTGGGGGTTATAGTAAATCACAGATTGAATGAGAATCAACAGTATGTTGCAGCTAAGAAAAAGGCTAATATTCTGGGATGCATCAACGGGTGTCGGCTGTAGGACACGGGAGGTAATTGTCTCACTCTACTCTGCATTAGTGAGGCCTAAGCTAGAGTTCTGTGTCCAATTCTGGACACCACACTTTAGGAAACATGTGGACAAACTGGAGAGAATCCAGAGGAGAGCAACAAAAATTATAAAAGAACCTGATTTAGGAGGAAAGGTGGGAATGTTTAGTCTTGAGAAAAGGAGATTGAGGGGGACCTGTTAACATTCTTCAAATATGTTAAAAGCTGTTACAAAGAGAACTGTGAACAATTCTTCTGCATGTTCATGGAAGGTGGGAGAAAAACTAATGGGCTTAATCTGCAGTAAGAGAGATTTTGGGTAAATATTAGGAAAAACTAACTATAAGAGTAGTTAAAACCTGGAATCGGTTTCCAAGGAGGTTGTGGAATCTCCATCATTGAAGGTTTCTAAGAACAGGTTGGACAAATATTTGTCAGGGATGGTCTAGGTTTACTTGGTCCTGCCTCAGTGCAGGGGGCTGGAGTTGGTGACTTCTTCAGGTCCCTTCCAGCCGTACATTTCTATCATTCTCTGATTCTATAATGTGGCCATAATATGTAGCACATATGACTGGCTTCTTCAGAGCTTCATAAGAACCTCAGCATCCTCCTCCTTTTCAAAACATTTCTCAGTGTTGTCAACAAAACCCCTTCTCAGCCAACGTGCATAGTCTTGCATTGATCACCCACTGATATCACAGAGCTATCTTCAGCAGATGTGTTTATACCATTTCCCCTTCTTGAGGTCTGATTAGCTCAGCTGTAAGGTGAATGAACACAGAGTGACCTGTCAAGTGGCTTGCCTACAACGAAAACATCCTTTATAGCTTCGGAAACAAATATAGAACATATCTAGTAACTGCCACATCTGGTTTTTGGATGTTTCTGGGTCAAGTAATGGTAGGGTTGCCAGGTGTCTGGTTTTTGACTGGAATGCCCAGTTGAAAAGGGACCCTGGCAGCTCCAGTCAGCACCGCTGACCAGGTTGTTAAAAGTCTGGTTGACGGTGCAGCGGGGCGAAGGCAGTCTCCCTGCCTGCTCCCCTGGCTCCATGCAGCTCCTGGAAGTGGTGACATCCTTTGGCTCCTAGGCACAGGGGCTCCATGCGCTGCCCTTGCCCCTAGCCCCGGCTCCGCAGCTCCCATTGGTCGGGAACCGTGGCCAATGGGAGCTGCGGGGGCTGCATCTGTGGGTGAGGGCAGCATGCAGACCCTCCCTGGCAGCCCCTGCACCTAGGAGCCGTAGGACATGTTGCCACATATGAGGGCTGCCTCAGGAAAGCGCCACCTGGAGCCTACCCCAAACCCACTCCCCCACCCCAACCCTGAGCCTCCTCTCGCACCCAAACTCCCTCCCAGAGTCCATACCCCCTCCCCCTCCCAACCTCCTGCCCCAGACCTGAGCCCCCAGATGCACTCTGAATCCCTTGTCCCCAGCCAGGAGCCCCCTCCTGCATGCCCCACCCTAGAGCCTGCACCCTCAGTTGGAGCCCTCAAACCCCCCCCCCCCCCCGCACCCCAAACCCCTGCCCCAGCCCGAAGCCCCCTCAAACACGCCAAACCCCTTGGCTCCACCCCCCCAGCCCAGAGCCCCCTCCTGCACCCCAAAACCCTCATCCCAGGCCCCACCCCCCGCCCCGTGGAAATGAGGGAGTAAGCGAGGGTGGGGGAGAGCAAGCGATGGAGGGAGGGGGGATGGAGTGAACATGGGCGGGACTTGGGGCAGGGGCGGGGCAAAGATGTTCAGTTTTCTGCAGTCAGAAAGTTGGCAACCCTAAGTAATGGACCCTGCACTTTGCATATGTGCTGAGACACCACCACCACAATATTTTAAGTGATTTGAAATATTTTTGTTGCAGCCTCTCCTACTGCGTCCTCACATATTTGTGGATATTGCAATAATGAACTCATTACTATTACCATCATAATGTAAGAAAGGTGTAAACACAACAACTGCTGTGTTTGTAAGTTAACTTTTCCTGGGAGCATGTACTTAGTACAAGATAAGGTTTATATTGTGTGTGATTATTGAGCAGGCAGAAGCTGAAATCAAAGAGGAATCTTTATATTTAAAGCACCAAAAACATGGATCATTTGGTTAATTCTAATGGGACAAGAGTGCCACCATTTTATATGTATTGCTTATAGAGGCGATCCCTGTACAGCTAGGCCAATACCCTCTGTGTGTACAGCAGGATATATCTTGGCACTATTAGGCCTTAATTCTCCTGCTCATGAAAGATGTCCTGACCAGCACCGGGCAGAAAGAAGGAGCAAGATCACCTACATTTTAACTTTAAACTAGGGCTGTCGATTAATTGCAGTTAACTCATGTGATTAACTCAAAAAATTAATCATGAATAAAAAATTAATTGTGATTAATCGCACTGTTAATAGAATACCAATTGAAATTTATTAAATATTTTGGATGCTTTTCTACATTTTCAAATATATTGATTTCAATTACAACATAGAATACAAAGTGTACAGTGCTCACTTTATATTATTTTTTATTACAAATATTTGCACTGAAAAAATTATAAAGAAAGTGTTTTTCAATTCACCTCATACAAGTACTATAATGCAATATCTTTCTCATGAAAGTGGAACTTACAAATGTAGATTTTTTTTTGTTACATAACTGCACTCAAAAAACCAAAACAATGTAAAACTTTAGAGCCTACAAGCCCACTCAGTCCTACTTCTTGTTCAGCCAATCGCTCAGACAAACAAGTTTGTTTACATTTACAGGACATAATGCTGCCTGCTTCTTATTTACAATGTCACCTGAAAGTGAGAACAAGCATTTGCATGGCACTTTTGTAGCTGGCATTGCAAGGAATTTACATGCCAGATAAGCTAAACATTTGTATGCCCCTTCATGCTTTGGCCACCATTCCAGAGGAAATGCTTCCATGCTGATGACGCTCGTTTAAAAAAATGTGTTAATTAAATTTCCTTCAGATTGACAAAACGCAAAGAAGGTACCAATGTGAAATTTCTAAAGATAGCTGCAGCACTCGACCCAAGATTTAAGAATCTGAAGTGCTTTCCAAAATCTGAGAAGGACGAGGTATGGAGCATGCTTTCAGAACTCTTAAAAGAGCAACACTCCAATGCGGAAACTACAGAACCCGAACCACCAAAAAAGAAAATCAACCTTCTGTTGGTGGCATCTGACTCAGATGATGAAAATGAACATGCGTCGCTCCGCACTGCTTTGGATCGTTATCAAGCAGAACCCATCATCAGCATGAACGCATGTCCTCTGGAAGGGTGGTTGAAGCATGAAGGGACATATGAATCTTTAGAGCATCTGGTACGTAAATATCTTGTGATGCTGGCTACAACTGTGCCATGCAAACACCTGTTGTCATTTTCAGGTAACATTGTAAACAAGAAGCGAGCAGCATTATGTCCTGAAAATGTAAACAAACTTGTTTGAGCGATTGGTTGAATAAGAAGTTGGACTGAGTGGACATACAGGCTCTTAAATTTTCCATTGTTTTATTTTTGAGTGCAGTTATTTTTTTGTACGTAATTCTACATTTGTAAGTTCAACTTTCATGATAAAGAGATTGCACTACATTATTTGTACTAGGTGAATTGAAAAATACTATTTCTTTTGTTTTTTACTGTGCAAATATTTGTAATCAAAAATAATAATAGAACGTGAGTACTGTACACTTTGTATTCTGTGTGGTAATTGAAATCAATATATTTGAAAATGTAGAAAACATCCAAAAATATTTAAATAAATGTTATTCTATTATTCTTTAACAGTGCGATTAATTGCATGATTAATCACGATTAATTTTTTTAATCACTTGACCGCCCTATTTTAAACCATTTCTTGTAATTTTGTCAGGCCAATATTTACACCTGTGAAATATTCTACAGGAAAAGTTAAGATGAGTGCTCCATTACGTCACACCTTCTTTTTGGACTTAAAAAAATCAAATGTGGGTTACACCTGGCCAGTACAAAATTTTTAAAATGTTAAAGACAAGTCAAAGACCTGATGATAAATAGAGGGTTTGGGAGTGAGTCCTGCAATCTTCTAGGGTTGCCCTGACTGCCATTGTCAAAACTAAAGGCACTTTATTTTTCAATGAAATCATCCACACAGGTTTAAGGCACTGTAATGTATGTACATTAACTTCCCACCTTTACTGTCACATGATCTAGACAAGCCCTTACTAAGGGAAGTAATGAGGGAAATTGAGGGGGACAGGGAAGCCTCTATTAATTCCTTTAGTTTAAAATGCTTTAACAGGTTTTGAATGACACCAGTTAGGGTGACCAGATGTCCTGATTTTATAGATACAGTCCCTATAGTCTGAGCTTTGTCTTATATAGGTGCCTCTTTCCCCCCGTCCTGATTTTTCATACTTGCTATCTGGTCACCCTATTGCCAATGTATCTTGCGGTTGTACCTATCTTGAGTAAAAATTACAGTAGACATTTATGTTTGAGAAGGATTTAATACACAAGAGTATAGTGCGTCTTAGGGTCAGATTTTTAAACGTATTTAGGCAACTAGTGAGCTTTTCAAAAGCAGCTAGATGCTTTCGACTTTTAAAAATGTGACCTGTATTGAACCGTGTTCTAAACACAAGTGGGGACGTAAAAAAGGCAGAGTGGTAGCGAGCGCCCTCCGTACCCTCCGACCAGAGGGGGCCCCGCAAGGAAGGGGGCCCCTAAAAGTGGCAAAATAAATACCGCATTCCAGTTTCTGCATTGTAAGGGGCCCCGCCCGGACATATGTTCGGAGGGGGCCACGTTCTTTGTTGCTACGGCCCTGAAAAAAGGACAAGGGTGCTGGACAGAGGCAAAATAACAGTTGACAAAGGTGGAATCCCCTTTGGTGGATTAAAGGAACCCGAAGTTTTGCCACCAACCCAGGAAATCAGTCACCCTGACATCATACGAGCCCCCAAAATAAACTTGTGTAGAAAAAAAATCCATGTATGTGCCTGGCAAGGGAAAGTCCGCCCAGACCCCAGTTCGGCAACCAGGCAACCAGGCCAGCCAACAAGGCAAACTTGTCACCTGCTGAGGCTTTATACACAGCTCGGAGACTTGTCAAACCCTGGCCACTAGAACTGGTTGTGGTAGAGGCGGGAAACAGATGTCAGAGACTCGCCGCTCCCTGAGCGACTCACAGCATGAGCGCAGGTGGGGCCGTGGGCGGGCACTGGGCTCTGGCGCGGGGCCTGGACGGGCACAGCCCTGGGAACCCGGCGCTACGAGCCGCCGCCTCTGCGCCGCCTCCCCCGCTTTTTTTTTTTGCAGGCGCTGCAGCCGGCTCAGCGGACCTGGGGTAACGGTTCCCCCTCCCCCCGCGGCTGGCAGCGCCTCGCGCACGGGCTCAACCCCCGCTCCCCCTGAGCTGGGCCTGGGGCCCCGCCCCTCGTCCTGCCGCCGCCGTCAGCTCGGCCCTGCCCAGCCCCGCGCGCCCCGGAGCACGTGGCCATGCCCGGCTGGGCTGTTAGCGCGCATGCTCAGTGCCGGCCGGGCCGCTGTTTGCGGCTGGCAGCTGCCCGCTCCGCGCCCATGGAGGGGAGCCTGGTCCGCGCCTTCGAGGCCCTGAGCCTGCAGCCCCTGGCCCGGGCGCAGCCCCGCAGGCGCCGCTTCAGCAAACGCCTCTACCTGCTGCGCGGCCTGCCCGGCTCCGGGAAAACCACGCGGGCCAGGTAACGGGGGCGCCGGGGTGTCGCGGCCCCGCGGGGGCAAGGGGCGCCCCGCCCTGCTCCGGGCCGCTCCCCCTGCGGGGCTGCCGCGGCAGGCGCCGGGCCGGAGCCTGGCCTGGGTGTGGCGGGGCCAAGCGCTCTCCGCGCGGCCATCCCGGCCGAGGTGCCGGTGCCGGGCGCAGGCTGACGGGGAGCGGCCCGGCCGCGGGGAACATTTGCTGGCTGCTCCGCACGTGGCTGTTGTCTCGTGCGGCCAGTGTCGGGGAGCGGAGCCTTTGCCCTCAAGTGTCTCCCACATCCGGACAGCGGCGGCGGTAGCGCCCGCGGCTCTGCCCCCTCCCCCCTTCTCCGAAGCTGGGGGAGGAAGTGCCGGGTTCCTGTCATCAGGCTGCGGGACCAGCAGTCACGTGTCTGGCACTACAGGTCTGTCTCATCTTGCGCTGGGGTTACCTTCCGCAGTCAGCGGCTAAAGCGAAAATCGCGTATAGTCAAAATTACATTGAGTGGAATGGCGGGCGGAATCGCCTGCACTACAGAAACAGTATTTAAATTGTTATTTTTCTCTTTTTTGTTTTTGCCGACCCAGTAAAGCTGAAATCACACATGTTAAATGTGCCTAAGATGCGACAGACCTGTACTGGGTGATGTTGGTGTAAAGTGAACAAGGTGTCAGCAGTAGCTTCACGCTGGGGGGCAAACCTGCCTCTTCTCCCCCCTCCCCTCCTTTGCGGAAGGCAAGATAATGTAGAAACTGATTGTCGCTGTTGTTTCCTTTTTGTTAATAAAGTTGAACTGAACTGACGTACAATAAGCAGTGATTGGACCACACAGAAGCTGTGACTTTTCTTCTTTTAGTGTATTCTTTGGATTTGTATACCATGCCCGTCAACACTTCCTAGCCAATTTACATACACAGACCAATTTTCATCTCTGCGATACCTTTTCTTCCTCCTGTTGTGCATTCTCCACCGCTCATTTTTCTGACCTGGTGCTTAGACTTTGTGATGTATTCTCCTAGCTCGTCACTACAAAACAAAAACAAAACAAAACTCTTTGCTTTAGTTTAACTCAAAGCTAAAGCAAACTAAGGCCACTTTACTTCTAAATGAGCTTATCAATTTTTAGAAATCACACCTTCTTTGTGTTTTGTCAAATCTGCTGTGAAAGTGTTCTTAAAATGAACAACATGTTTTAGGTCATAATCCAAGACTGCTATAACATGAAATATATGGCAGAATGCGGGTAAAACAGAGCAGGAGACATACAGTTCTCCCCCAAGGAGTACAGTCACAAATTTAATTGATGCATTATTTTTTTAACGAGCATCATCAGCATGGAAGGATGTGTTGAATTCATATGGTTAATTAATTTGGCTTAATTTCCCATGCAGACAGCCCTCATTGAAGAAAAAACCTTGGATTACACAGCACAGTATACAAGTACCTTACATATACCACGGGCAAGATTCTGTGCTGCATCTCTTACGCAGCACGGGCGACTTTAAGGCACTTTTTTGCCTTGGCCAAGAAGTTGGAGAGGCCCCCAGCATACCATACACAGTCCTGGGGGCCTCTAAATTATGGCAGCCTCCCCCAGTTGCCCTGTAGGCTGCAGTGTTATGGCCTTACTCTTCACATATCCCTCCTGCTGCCAGCATGCTTCCTGCACCAGGGCTCACTGCTGTCTACTGTCCTGGCTGTACTGAAGGAAACCTCAGCTGGAACTGGGACTTTTAAGGCCCATTTATGCTGCTCTGGCCCTTTTCTTCAGCCTAAAGGGGCTGGAATGGGCTTGAGGATCTCACCCAATTACTGTAGCTTCACAATACGCTTATCAGGTAGGGAAGTATTATCTCATTTTATGCATGGGGAATTGGGAGATTGACTGTCCCACATCCCAAAGGAAGTCTGTGGCAGAGTCAGGAATAAATCCAGCTTTCCCATGCTCTATGACACTGCCTAAAGTATAAGAGCGTCCTTTTTTCCTCTGAAGGATCTGTGACAAAGTGCAAATCTGATAAAACCCTCATCACACTGTTAGAGGTTAATGTACATCAAGCATCGTCTTCTAATGGGAGTTGAGGCTGGGGGCACGTCTATATCAACTGTTAGTACAGGGCAAGCTCATGTTTAAATCTACCTTGCACTAGCCTGCTGCGCATTAACTGTCCATGTGGACACTGCTGCCCTGCACTTCACCTTCCGTAGTGCACTTTGATCTACTCCCATTTCAAGGTAGAGCAGATCAAAGTGTGCTAGGGAACTTTTACTGCATGGCCACAGGGTCCATATGGACAGTTAGCATGTGACAGGCTAGTGCAAGGTAGAATTACAGCCTTGCTTGCTGTGTGCTAACTGTTTGTATAGCTGGGTTGTTTTTTTCTTTTCTGTCTGTCCATGTACATTTCATATTCAGTTTTATGTACTACCATTCTGTGAATATGAGACAATCTCCTCTCCCATTTTTCTGCTGTTTCTGTGTGATGTCAGTTAACAGGCAAGTTAAATGCATACACAAGTTTATGTGTGAACTTTGGAAAACAACTGGCATGGAAGAGCAAAGGCACCAGTGTGAGTGGTTTCACAAAGACTTGCATGCAGCGATGATTAGGTGTGTGTGTTGCAGTTAAGTCACTTGTGCATCTTAATCATGCCCCATTAGGAGGGAAGAGTAACACAAGAGAAATTGATTCAGGGAAAAGAGGAAAATGGATTCACAATGGTGAAAAGTTAGGTTTCAGCCCCATGGGAAAAGTAGCTTGCAAAAATCTTAAACAAGCAAAACAATCTGCTTTTTCTTCAGAACTGCTGCAACAAATTGAGTTTATCAATCCATCCTTAGAAATAATTACTTTTAATCACATCTATAGCACTGTAACTGTATATGCTGCTGTTCAGAGAAAGGTCAGTGCCAAACTGGTGTTCTTCTTAAGAAGGGCTAATAATCTAAAGGCATGGGTAAATATGTTGCATCCACAAAGTATAGCAGAGGAAGGATGGCTCTCTGCTTAAGGCACTAGACTGGAACTCATGTGTTCTGGGTCCTTTCCTGGCTCTGCAACAGACTTCTTGTGTGAACTCATTAAACCACTTACAAATTATAAATATAATAAGCAGAGAGAGTGTTACCATAAGCCTAGAGCTACCAAGGGGACTTAGATTCAGCAGTGCAATGCCTAACTGGCATCCATAGCCCTCAGGCACCCAGGCTCCCTATGCAATGTCTGGGGAAGGGTAAGACGCCTAAGAATAGGATTCACAAAAGCCAGCAGGCTGAATAGGGAGCCACCTAAGCTGGACAGTAGGAAGAGCTGAGGTGTGCATGCCCCTCAGAGATAAATGTCTAGTGAGAGGCACCCCCTCTGCTTGGGATCACAGCTGTGAACCCTCTCCAACAGTTAGGCACCTAAACCAGGTCAGTCCTTTCTCAAAAAAAAGTAAGGAGGAGGTGGTGTAGCACTTGCTCAGGATGTGGGAGACCAGGGTTCAAATCCACACTGTGTGAGATGTAGAACAGGGACTTGAAGCCAGGTCTCCCTCCTAGTGAGTGCCCTAACCACTTGGCAATAGGTACTCTAGGGCAGCTATTTCCCACTTTCCTGTTGAAGTTGTTCCACTTTGTATAAAATACTTAATTATTCAGTGAGTAAGAAAGATTGATTCTATAGCCCAATGGTTAGGGAACTCACTTGGGATATGGGACACCTTGCTTCAAGTCGCTGCTCCACATGAGGCAGAATGGGCATTTGAACCTGGGTCTACCCACATCATAGGTGAGTGCACTAACCCCTGGGCTATTGGAGTCTAAACTAAGGTGGTACCACCATCTGTGTGTTGTACCGACCTTGACCTAGTAGGCGTGCTCTGACAACATCTCCCAGATTGGGGAAGATAGTTTGAGGATCCAGCTGGAACTTCAGTATGAGCTAGGCCCTGGGCCTCAGGACTGAAGCAGCATTGTACATGTCCACTAGCAGAAATTTAGGCACCTCCAGTTAGGTCCTCAAAAGCCCTGCTCAGTGGCCACCTATGTTTTGGATTTAAGCACCTAAAGTGACAGGTGGGCACCTAACTCCCTTTGTAAATCTAACTACTAGTGCTTAGGAATCATAGCCATGGACCGGGAACCCCACTGTTCCAGGTGTTGCACAGATAGAACAGAAAAACAGTTTCTGCCCCACAGACCTTGCAATCTAAGGACTGATCTACATTAGAAAATTAACACACAGGCTGTGTGAAAAATCCACACCCCTAAGCGACACAGTTAAACCAATCTCACCTTTGGTGTGGCTAGAACTAGGTCGAGGGGAGAATTCTCCCCTCGACCTAGATGCTGCCTCTTGGGGAAGTGGATTATCTGCACTGACGGGAGGAGCCCTCCTATTGGTGTAGGTAGCGTCTTCACTGAAGCACTACAGCACACCTGCAGTAGTTTATGTGTAGACAAGGCCTTAGTGTAAGACAAGAGACAGACGGATATAGATGGGGTGGAGGGGTGGGTACAAAAGACAGTGAGACAATTACTGATTAGAAAGTTGGCTCTAATCCAAGTAAACCACTCCTTTTCTCTGAGGCAGAGAAATGATATACAATGCCGTGGGGCACTTTAATTGCTCTGACTCTACGACCCCATAAGAAAGGAGACTGGTATTCTCCTGTGTAAGCTCACCAAAGTTTTCTGGGCAATAGTCATGCAAGGCCTAACGTGGGAGGAGCTTTCCACTCCACAACCCCAGCCTAACTCCTCACATTCCCTCAAAAAGGGCCCCATCCCTAAAAAAAAGTAAATAAACTCTAACCCCTACTCTTAGCAGCGTTTTTACCATGACAAGGGAGACATGCCATAGACTCTATGAAATCCACTAGGGGGACTTTGCAATATAAATATATTTTCACCCCACTCCACACTATGGTTACAATCCTTCTGAGCCTATCAGTGCAAATTAGTAAGCAGTCAGAAGTTGTGGTTGAACTGACATGAGGTACTGGCTCCCAGATGTCCGT